TTTCAAATTTGATTTCATCTTCAATTTTAATTTTATTTAGAAGAATGTGACTAGAATTCCCTACTGGATATGTTTACATAGCTATACTATTTTACTCATTTCTAATTTTAGAACATTATGATCAATGGCTATGATTTGTTTGTTTTCATTTTTAGAGGGGGGAAGAATTCATTGAACTATTTGGTAGTAAAATATAGCATCCATTTTATTCTTTGTAAGTAATTTCTTTCACATTCTCGTATTGTTGGGAGTAAAAAATAAATAATTTTGCCCTAACCGGTTTGGCTAAATGGATTGAGCGTCAGCCTGCAGACTCAAGGATCCCAGGTTCGATTCTGGTCAAGGGCATGTACCTTGGTTGCAAGCTCCTCCCCAACCCGGGCCCTGGTCTGGGCCTGTGCAGGAGGCAACCAATTGATGTTTCTCTCACATCAATATTTCTGTTTGTCTTTCCCTCTCTCTTACACTCTCTCTAAAAATCAATGAAAAAATATTCTTGGGTGAGGATTAAAAAAATAATAAAATGAAAGAAAGAAAGAAAGAAAGAAAGAAAGAAAGAAAGAAAGAAAGAATTTTAAAATGAAAATCAAAATTTTAAACTCTTCAAATGTCCTTAATAGATAACTGTTCCATTAAACTAAAATTACTTCATAGAATCATATCGACTTTGGAAAATCATAGAAATGAAATATAGAGAATAGAACACAAAATTATAGTTTAAAACATTTTTTATAGTTACCGAAGACATTCATTAGAAAAAAAGTAATAAAAATGTCTTGATCCTCTAGGACTATCTTCTAATTATCCCAAGATCTAACAGAGTAATAATAAAATAAAAGTCTCTTTTTAAGATCATACAAGGTCAAGGCCAAGCCATAGTAAAGGTGAGTTGATAATACCAGAGTGTTGGTCAGAGGTTTGCTTCTCAGAGTGTGATGCCAAGGCCAGCAAGGAGCATGGACATCCATAGTATAAAATGCACAAGTCGGGCCCTATTCCAAACCTCCTGAAGCAGAATCTGCATTTTAACAAGATTCCAGGACTTTGGCGATACATTAACATTGCAGAGGCATTAAGTATAGTTCTGATCTATCTCTTACCTAATGCAGATTCTGGGGCTGCAGTTGAGCTTCCAGGCAAGGTGAAGTGGCTTCTAATGTATGGGGAAAACAGTAGGGTTCACTTAAAATGAAGCACAGCCTGAGAGTGACAAGGACAAGCAACACAGACAGGTGAAGAACAGCAGGAGGGAAAAAAGAAAGAAGAGGGTTTCTCTGAGGAAAGCCGCTTCCGTCACTTGGACACAGACATCAGAATTCTTTATTATTTCACCTGAAAGTTTGTGTCTAAGGGTTTAGAAACATCTTTTTCTATACACTGGAGTCTTCCTGAGTTTATCTTTAAACCTCATAACTTCCTTGAAAAAAATAAGTTTTTATGAATAAAAGGTGTGGTAATAATATTTTTTAATATTAATTTAGAAAGGTTGCCTAAAATTGAAAAAAAATATTTGAAAGTATGTTTATTTTATCTTTACTTTTTGAGAATGTTGGGCTGCCTCTTTTCAAAATGTCTAATGGTTTCATTTGGAACCAATATTATTTCCTTGTCCTGAACTAAAAAATCGACAAACTGAGGTGTTAATCCTAGTAAGTTAATATAATAATGTATAGGAAAATAATAGACCCGAGAAGTTGGAGTACATCTAAACTTCTGCTTTATGAGAAGAATTTTTTTCTACAACAGGTCTGGTGATGATCTTTCAACCCAAATATTTCAAAGGATGGGAATGTCTCACACTTCAGGGCAGACATTCCTTGTGGGGTAGCACTCCCTTTTCAGAACGACCATGCCATTGGGAATTGGAAGACACGTGTCAGAGTCTGGCCGTGCCTCTTGGATAGTTCTAGGCCCAACTTACTCTTATCCCAAGGCTCTTGTTCTAATCCAGTGGCTCCAATTCAGTGGTTCCAATCCAGTGGCTCCAACCCTTTTTAAAAACATTAATTCCAACCAAAGATAGTATAGAAATAAGACAGAGCCCAGCAACAACAGGGAAGGATCTGGGGAGTATTATGCTGAGCGAAATAAGCTAGTCAGAGAAACATAGGTATAACATGATCTCACTCATATGTGGAATCTAATGAACCAAATAAACTGATGATCAAAAATAGACCCAGAATCATAGAAGCATGAACAGACTGTTGAACCTCAGAGGGAAGACAGGGGAAGGTGGATGGGAAGAGATCAACCAATGAACTTATATGCATATATGCATAGCTCGTGGACACAGGCAATGGGTGGCGAGGACCTATGGGGGGAGGGGAAGACAGGAGTGGGCTGGAAGAGGTTATGGGGGGAAAGGAGGACCTAAGTAATACTTTTAACCATATAGATTTTTTAAAAAAGAATAAAAGTGAAAAGAAAAAAAAGACTGAGCCCAGGCCTCTGGAGTTTGGCACCCACCTTGTCCCAGTTACAATAGGAGAATACAGGTTGTATCTTATTTCCAGATGGCAAACCATCAATAGTTTCAGAGAACCACCAAGATTTAAGATGAGAAGGGACCCATAGGAAAGTACTGGAAAAGAGGAACTGTCTGGCTATTGACAGATGAATGCAGGAAATTAGGCATGCAGGTGGTGGAGAGCTAAAAAAGTAAATGAGAGATGCTGAAGCAACACAGAGGTAGTATTTGCAGAAAGCAAGTATGACCCCTGAGACTGGAGGGCAAAGGGGAGAGAATCTAGAGGCTCCTAAGAGGGAACCACTGAGCTGGGACCCAACCTCCAAGGGCACTGCCTGGCCGCTTCGGCTTTCTCGGAGTAGGTCCCAGGAGGCTGATCTGGAAATGCAGAAAAAAAACACACAAACAGAAATTCAGGCCATCAAAATGAAAGGCGAACATGGTGGGTGGTGTGGGTAGGTAGGCTAAATAGCCATCTCAGATGGTGGATAAAGAATAATTGAATTTATTTAAGGAAAGGGATTGGGAGAAGGGATATCAAAAGGGAAGGGCTGCACAGCACCGAGCCAAGGGGTCATTGGGTCAATGATGGCAGCACCCAGGAGCTGGAGTTTCATCTCTATATGCACTCACTAGTGGGAAACTTGTCATCAGTGAGTCTGGAGGCTGAGGTGGGCTTGGAATGTGAATGGAATGCAGGTGTACAATCAGGTGTCTTCAGGACAGTTTCAATTCCTTAAATGGTCTGATTTCTGGTGTCCAGCAAGGTGTGTGTTTTTTTCTGGTCTTTTGTTCCCCTGGTGGGGATGGGGTGGGGACTTCCAAATGGCTGTTATGGATTGTATTGCCCTAAAGTTTTAAAATTAGAGGCTGAACCAGCTACCAAAGCCTTGAAGAAGAGCCATGACTGGGCTGCCTGAAAGAACAGCAGGCGAACAGGAAGAAGCAGGCATCTGTCCCCACCTGTTGCTCCTCTGGGGCTCCTCACCCTCCACCCAAACGCTCAGGTGGAGGAAGGTGTGCCTGCCCAGTCCCAGCCCAGGGTCACAGACCAGATGGTAGCTTAGAAGCTCAGACACTAGTTTGCTAACTGGCCCAAAGGATACTTGGTGCCCCTCCCCTCCTCTGTGCATCCAAGAATTTGAGATACAGAGCATGTAAGTGTTGTCTAGAGCCTCACGTACCCACAGTGCTGGTGCACGCAGGCGCAGACATGTGTCCCTGGTGTTGGTTGTTGTTGTTGTTGTTCTTTTTTTTTTAATAGAAATTCTGTAAAGAGTAAATATAACATTTTATAAGTATTTTTTCCCTTAGAATTTCTGAAGAGAAGCTAAGAAACTGAGATATTACCAAAAATGTATAGAAATAAATACTGCATATATATTTTTTGGCAAAACTTTCTAGTTGCTTTCATTTTTACCTAAAATTTTGAAACAATATTAAAATAAATAAGTAATAAAATATCTAGACACTTGTATTAGGTAAATATGTCTTAGCAATATTTTATCCAAAACCAACCCCCCCAAATAACCAACATATAAATAGAAGCATAAAGTGTACATATAAAAAATATGCTTGGTTCTTTAAAATTCTTTATTGTAGGTTCATTTGAAATGTCAGTGTTCAGCTCACATATTTTTATACTCTTAAGAATCAACACTTAATTTTTGAGTGTTTTTAATTGAAAAGATTCTGCTGCTTAAAATTCCATTCAACCCCCTGACCTGAGGTGAAAAATACTTAATATTTGTGTTTTTCCTAAAGCCTTCCTCTGTGCTCAATTTCTCATAATTAACAGAACGTTTAATCCAAAGTAGAGTGCAGCCCCCACCACTTCTCCATTCCAGCCCAAAGGCAGCACAGAAAATATCAGAGCCTGAGACACATTTGTCCCATGGTAGCTTCTTGTGTATGTGTGGCTTGATGGCATTTAAAGCTGGTATAATAGGGATATACAGGAATCTCTTTCTTGCTTGGCACATAAGGTCATTGGCAAGGGCAGCAAAACCCTGGTAGATTTCTCATGTCAGTGACTCATGGTTTTGGTGTTTTTTTTGTATGTGTGTGTGTCTCATAGTTTTTATACTAAATTATGACATGACAGGAACTGCTTCCGATTCTTCAAAGTACCCAATGGAAAGAAAATGTCAGGGCTAATATGCCAGCATTTAGTGAATGCAGCCAAGCAGTTGTGCTAGCTGAGTAGTCCAGAGTTGATGATGCAGCCTTCTCTTCATGTTTTTCCAAGTGTAACTTTCCTAACTCGTGACCAGGGAATCATTTGTCCTCAGGAAGAATCTACCTCTTAATACTTTAGGTCTTTAGTTTTTTTTTCTTTAGTTTTGATGTTGCCAGGCCAGTGTTTAAATGCAAGCCGCGATGTTTACCCAATTTCATTATCATAGTAGTTATTAGCTGTGTTAACTCTACTGCCACCAAAGGGCCTTTCATCTTCTTCTAGCTGGAATAGGCCTACCCTTTGACATAGATGAGAAAGAAAATTGGTTTTAACTGGTGTGTTTTTGAATTTCAGGAATAGTTGCTGTTCTCTTCTGTGGAGTCACACAGGCACATTATACCTACAATAATCTGTCATTGGATTCCAAAATGAGGACTAAACAGGTAAAAGGAAAAACTCCCTCCCTGCCTTATGTCCTTTCTCAATGTAACGGTTACACAGCAATGCTGGCAGTGCACTCGGAGTTTCATTAGCAAAGGAAGCTCCAGGCTTCATTAAAGTTTGGATATTTATTATTTTTTCCCCTCCAGGATAACCATTAATAGTTCTCTTGGTAAGCAAAAATCTATAATAATAAAAGTGGAATATGCTAATTAGACTGGACAGCCGAACGACCTTCTGGATGTCATTCCGGAAGTCCTTCCGGATGAAGCTGTGGCAGTGGGGGCTGAGGCAGAGGTGGTTAGGGGCAAAAAGACAGGCAGGAGAGCAGTTAGGGGCAATCAGGCAGGCAGGCAGAGGTGTTAGGGGTGACAGGCAGGCATGCAGAGTAGTTAGGGGCTATCAGGCAGGCATGCAGAGTAGTTAGGGGCTATCAGGCAGGCAGGCAGAGTGCTTAGGGGCTATCAAGTAGGCAGGCAGGCGAGTGGTTAGGAGCTAGCAGTCCCATATTGCAAGAGGGATGTCAGATAAGGGATTTCCAACTGCCAGTTTAGGCCCGATCCCATGGGAATCCCTGCAGGATCGGGCCTAAACCAGCAGCCAGGCATCCCCTGAGGGGTCCCGGATTGTGAGAGGGTGCATGCTGGGCTAAGGCCCCCCCTGCACAAATTTTGTGCACCTCTAGTATAGTTATAATAGTATCTCCCTCCTGAGAAATGTGGGCCATAGACTGTCAGACTTGAAGATGAAAGGCCAACAGATGCTAATAATTTACAGTCACTTACATCTAAAAGCATTATAAAGCATGTGAGATTGGGTAGAGAGAAGGAAACGAAGAAGAATAAGGAAGCCATGTTTGCTCCTTAATTAGGTGCTTTTGCTTCTAAATAAACTGAATTGCCAGTTGTCACACAAAAGAATGTACCTCTCGTATGCCAAGAACATGTCTGCTTGGATATTTGCACATGAGCATGCACAAATCCCTTCCACAAACTGCTGCACAGCCCCTCTGTGCCAAGCACTGTGCTAGGTACTAGGAATAAAAAGACAGATAGCATCTGACCCTGCCTGTAAGAGGTTCATTATCAAGTCTGTTGGTAAAGATTAAGATGTGTAGTGAACTGTGATAGAAATATCTCCATAGAGTGTTTGGGGAGCATTCAATAGAGCATCCTCCAGTTACTAGGATTGGGAAGGGGAGAAGAAGGTTTCCAGAAATGATGCCCAATCTGGAGCTTGAAATACAAATAGAAGTTAATCAGGTAATTACGTGGAGCATTGGAAAGTAGCAGAAAAGGCATTTGAGTCCCAAGTTATAGATGAACAAGAGCCTAAGGCAGTTGTTTGAAGCACTGTAAAAGTTCTGTGTGGCCAGAGAATGGGGTAAGGCTGAAGCTACTGGGATCCAGTGATAGATGAAACCAAAGATATAGCCAGAGACCAGCTTATGAAAGAATGTCCAGTGAAATATTACTAAGCAATAAAAAATAAAAATAAAATCTTGCCATTTGTAACAACATGGATGGACCTGGAGGTTAATATACTAAGTGAAGAAAGTCAGACAGAGAAAGGCAAATAGCACATGATTTCACTCATATTTGAAATTTTAAAAAATTAAACAAATAAACAAAACAAAAATAGACAATAGAAACAGAGATTGAACTGATGGTTGCCAAGGGAGTTTGGGGGGTGGGGGGAAGAGAAGGTGAAGGAAAATGTGGTAAATAACATTGTGATAACTTTGCATGGCGAGAGATGGTTACTAGGCTTAGTGTGTTGGTCACAACATAATGTATACCAGTGGTTCCCAAACTTATTTGGCCTACTGCCCCCTTTCCAGAAAAAATATTACTCAGCGCCCCCTGGAAATTAATTTTTTTTAAATTTTAATAGCAATTAAACAGAAAGATATATGTATTAATGTTTCTACCTTTTTCGTAAAATATAGTAAAGAAAGGTGTAAATTAGAAACATTGAAGTTTGAAATTATGAAACTATTTATTGAACTCAGAATAGAAAGGTAATACAAAAAAAGTTAAAACAAATGCACCTGTGGCCATCACCGCCCCCCTGGATCGCTGCAGCGCCCACCAGGGGGCGGTAGCGCCCACTTTGCGAATCACTGAATTAGATCAATCAAAGTTAATGAGTAAACTTTCTGAATTGCTTAATACGTCCCAGATATGAGTATCAAGGCTTTAGCAAGGCAGGTGAAAACATTTCCATGAGCAAGAAGCAATTGAGGCCTTCCTCTATGAAATAAATTCTTGGTAATTCCTGTGGGAAACTTCCCTTTATCCTAACATCTTTCCTCTTCTTTTGCCTTGCCTTGTTCTCAGTGTTTTTAAAAAACACCAAATATAGCTTTATACAAATAGCTAGTAAGTGGAGTTGGGGAGAAAGCAATCACATAACCCCTCTATTGCAGCCTTGTAAATAAAACATAAGTTATATTACAAAGCCCCAGAGAAACATCACATGTTCCTTCTTCCTGGCGTAACTTGCACAGTCATTAAATGTGATTAAAATCTTGGGGACTGGACACAGTCATGTCTATTTCGGTACCACTGGCTTGATCTACCCCTGCGGCTTGAGGGGAATCACCCTCTTTGTGTAAATATTTGCTTTGTTGGAGATTCTTAAGCAGAAATTAACAGTATACATGCTTCAGGAGGGGTATCAGCCATGATAAACAATTCCTAGGCAATGTTTAGACTGGCCAAAAGTCATCCTAAGAATTGTGCACAAGGTTAGGACAAGACATTTGGCATCTATAAGCTAGAACTGCCTATAAAACAAATAGCAAAGTAGAGATCTGTCCATTAACCAGTTAATATAATTAATGTGTTGTGTCAGTGTAGGTGGATAACAAATTAATGACTAGACAAGAACCAAGTATCCACCTCGTTCTATGTGGTATATGTAGATCTGGTTAATGAATCATGAATGTTGGAACTCTTTACCAGCAGTTACAGAACACATTTGGATCTCCTAAAAATTCACTTCAATCTTTTGTTTGAAGTCATGTGTCAATATTCTGAACCCCTGTGACATCAACTACTACAACCGCTAAGCTATTAAAGAGCTGAAACTAATCAGGTAGAATTGGCAACAAAGGAAGTTTCAACACAACAGTCTGACTACCTTAACACTGCTAACCCATCCTTATAGAACAAACATTTGCTCTTAGCTTCTCTATGCTAAGTTTTGTGGGATCATGTAATCTAAATTTTTTTTTGCAAGTAAGGTATGTCCTCAAGAGGATGAGAGAACAGAGACCATGGAAAATAATCTGCCTATCTAAGGTTTGAGGATAGGATGGCTCCAGGATGACAATAATATTTGGACTCTTTTTCCTAAGTCAAAATATAGCCAACAGAATGTGTCTCTGTCCTTTATCCCACTTTATCTAAAATGTATGTAGGGTGTGTGTGTTGGGAGTCATGATAAAATTAGGCTCCTGATTCCTTTAAAAAGAATGAATTGAATGAACTCTCTTAACAAATTTTTATCCAGGTATTGTTAAAATAAAAATAAAGTAAAAATAGATTCAGAATTTAAAAAACATTAGTGACTCAAGTCATTTCCAGTGTTTAAATCAGGACTAATCACACAACTCTCAGTGCTAGCCCAAGTCCCTTCCACCTATTCTCCTCTCTGCCAATAGCCAGTTTTTGAGTCTATTTCAGGAAAGAGTCCAGAGCACGTTAGAAATCAAAATTAAACTTAAAATACTTCCTGAAGCATTACCAGAAATCATGTTTCAAATTTCTAAATGACTTGCATTGTTCTGTGTTCCCAGGCTGTGCCCATAACCACAGAGATAAATGGGCATTGGGACAACCACGTGAAGGATCAAGCTGCAACATGAAATAAGTGTACTGTTCAGCATGAGTCATTTGCAAATAGAAGAGAAGAATGGCTAGAAGAGATGATGGGACCTGACAACAATATTTCAAGGGTCACGGATCCAGGTCCCAGACCACAGACAGCCTCAAGCACTGCCCCCCGCCTGGCAGGGTCACAGATCCGGGTCCCAGGACAGCGGACAGCCTCAAGCACTGCCCCCCACTCAGCAGGGTCACGGATCTGGGTCCAGGGACCGCGGACAGCCTCCCGCGGTGCCCCCCGCCTGGCAGGGTCACAGATCCAGGTCCTGGGACCGCGGACAGCCTCAAGCACTGCCGCCCCGCCTGGCAGAGTCACAGATCCGGGTCCCGGGACAGCGGACAGCCTCAAGCACTGCCCCCCACTCAGCAGGGTCACGGATCTGGGTCCAGGGACCGCGGACAGCCTCCCGCGGTGCCCCCCGCCTGGCAGGGTCACAGATCCAGGTCCTGGGACCGCGGACAGCCTCAAGCACTGCCGCCCCGCCTGGCAGAGTCACAGATCCGGGTCCCGGGACAGCGGACAGCCTCAAGCACTGCCCTCTGCCCGGCAGGATCACAGATCCGGGTCCCGGACTGCAGACAGCCTCAAGCACTGCCCCCCCGCCTGGCAGGATCACAGATCCGGGTCCTGGGACCGCGGACAGCCTCCCGCGTTGCCCCCCGCCCGGCAGGGTCACAGATCCGGGTCCCGGGACCACGGACAGCCTTGCCCATTGCCGCCTGCCTTCAGTATGCTTCAGGGTGGGGGTCCCCACTGGGGTGCCTGGCCAGCCTGGATGAGGGGATGATGGCTGTTTGCAGCTGGTCACACCCCCTTCAGGGTGGGGGTCCCCACTGGGGTGCCTGGCCAGCCTGGATGAAGGGATGATGGCTGTTTGCAGCTGGTCACACACCCTTCAGGGTGGGGGTCCCCACTGGGGTGCCTGGCCAGCCTGGATGAGGGGATGATGGCTGTTTGCAGCTGGTCACACACCCTTCAGGGTGGGGGTCCCCACTGGGGTGCCTGGCCAGCCTGGATGAGGGGATGATTGGTTGGCAGTTAATTTGCATATCGCCCTGATTAGCCAATGAGAAGGGTAGCGGAGGTACGGCTAATTACCATGTTTCTCTAT